AAATGTTGGGACATCGTGACTATGTAATTTCACTACAAAGCAAAAGAATGCACCATAAATCGTTATAAAGGATATGTCCAGGAAAACCATATTTCTTATAATTTTAAGAGTATCCTGGCAATGCTCAGAACGGACCAGTTGAGTCAGCGCTGAAAAATGTTCAGCAAGTTGTTCGAATGGTTCGGAAAACATTTAAGGCCATGAAAGTGCAATCGCCGTTCGGAGTCGACATAATACTATCTATAAGCTTAGAAAACGGTCAAGAAAAAATTGCCATTATTTCGCGTGTGTGTCCAAGGAATTTTGACATTTTTGATAACGCACAGCCTGTTGCCTCACTCTTTCCTCAAGAAATAATGGAACGGGCATATATTTCTGTTGCAAACCTGGGTTGCCTTGTGCTCTTTTTTCACAAAAAACTTTGGAAACCGTAGTAGAAAGCGTACTAAATTTCTGAAGAACTGCGTACTGCCTTAAGGAAATTTGACTCAAGAAAATTTCTTAGCCATTTCTTGTACGTCATTTTATATGGAGTTTTTGCTTTTCTTAAGAGCTGGATACTAAGCTATAGGCACAACATCAAGGCGCACGCCGAAAATTGGAGAAAAAGCTCGGCCAAACACTTACATATTATGTAAGAGTCAATCTATTATTAAAAAATCATTCGACTCTTCACTTCATCAGTCTGATACTTCTAAGGTCAGCGCAAAATTAATGCTAAGAATGTTCACTAGTCCCCGTACCCCCTTCAAAGCAAACAAAAACGTTCTCCGTACACCCCTGGCTCTGAAATATTTTGCGAGGCATTTTCGTAAACAAAAATGGTGTCGAATATTGGGTTCGCTTTTTACATTTTTCGGTGGCATTTACATTCGGCAATAATTATTTCTACCAAAAGCTTAATTATTTTGGGAGAATTTTAATTTACTAACGTTGGGTGCTACGTACTAGAACGAAGTACTTGAGGTCAATTAACTTAGGAACATAAAAATTTCTTCTTCGAGACTAAAATATCGGCACTTTATAATTTAATATATGACTGCAAATGCCAAAGATATAACGAAAAATATCACAAAACGACCCCTGCGCTCCGCAAAAAAAAATATAAATTATCTTCCAATCGAAATTTTTCCATAGCGAAAGTTAAATGATTTCACCGGCACACAAAAAAAAGTGGTGGTTTGCTTCTAACCAGACCCAACTACCGACATGTATTTTGACAATTTCGACTAAATTACGAAACCCCTAAAATATGGCAAAAAGTTCGCCATTTTCTCAATTTAGTCGAAATTTTGAGAGTGTACGAGTCAAACGGACCTCACATTCGCATTCAGTGGGTGTCGAAATACATGTATTTAGGTATGTGAGTCTGGTTAAAAGCTCAAACCATTTGTTTTTGTGTGCGAGCTTTAATTTAGATTTCGTGAAATTGTTTTTTTTCACAGACAGAAAATTCAGCTCGATTTAAACCAGCTTTTATATATGCAAATAGCAGTTAATATACGTACATACATATAAAAACCCGTATAACGCAATAAAAACTTAACACTGCGCGTCGTCGTCGTACCCACCAAATACCGTTAATATTGACGCTGTCCAAAGTCACGTGGCGACTTGGAATTCAGTCCATAGCACGCTTGGCTGCCGCATTGGTCATTGAAATTTAATGAAATCGGAAATACGAAACCGTAAGGAATTTAATCAAATTTGTGTGAAAAAGGTATCGATGATTAGATGCCGTTACTTGCGGGCAGGGATGCAGACTAACTGTTATTATGCGTTCATTTCAATCTAAGCTTATTTTTGTTTGTATTCGCTGCTGGCTTATGGCAATGATGCGATTTGCTTACAGTTGATAATAGCAAATTTATTATTTTCCCTTGAAAGTTTGGCACAACAATGAAAATCAAATTTTCCTCATGATTTGTTAGCCGAAAGCCATTAAAATTGAGTGGCCTATTTCGCATCGCAATAATAAAATAATATGGCGCGAAGAGATACACATGTGTGTAGGTTTGTTTGCGTTTATGTGCAAATAATTTGCTGATAAAAGAGGTAATGTTAAAGGCGCTTGATTTCATTTTATGACAAAGTTTACCCAAACGAATAAAATGAGAAAATCCGTGGAAAATTATTGGGACCTTATCTTTAAAAAACGTATGTAGTTTAAAAAGACTTCCATCACAAAAAAGTGTAAATACTTTTTTAATTAAAAAATATATAGCGACCTTAGAAACTTAACGCTTAAAAGTAGTTTTGTGTGTAAATATATTTGAGTTGAGGAAATACCGCATATGTAGCTACCGCGCTGGGTTTCATTTATATTGAGTAATACACTATTTACTTCTAAATCATCCGCGTAATATCTAAGAGACAGTAAATTGATATGGAGGTTGAATAGAGAAGAAATGGTTAACCACAGGAAGTGGGGCCGAGCAGAGCGAAGCCTTTCTGATCGGAGCGAAGCTTTCAAATTAATGTAGCTACATATTTATGTACATATATGAGAGTGTTCATACAGCGAGCTTTTTCAGAAGCGTTTTTGCGATTAAAACTGATGCCAGATAAAACTTTGTGACTTTAAACTTTGTGAATTTAAACTTCGTTTTTCAAACAGGTGAAAACTCTCTATTCTTTTTTTCATTCCATATTTTAAGTTAGACCTCTAGCAATGCGTCAGAGTGATGTGCTTACAAATATACAGACAAAAATTCTAAAAATTGTTGATTTGGCTTCTGTTGCTCTAATAATTATGTTCTAATATATATAATGTAGAGACATCGTCCTTTTACAATTTTACTATATGAATATGTGTGTAAACAAATTATATGGCAACACGATTCTATCAAGACTTTGCACTTAGAAACTTAACTTAGAAATAAAAAATCTATAGTTCTCCAAGTTTCTGAATGAAGTTGTTGTTTTTTTTTTTTGGTAAATACATACACGCATTGCTCAATTGCCAGCAATACCATTTTTCAAGTTAAGCCAAGTGTAGGTCTTACATAACCAGGCTTTAAAATATGTTTTTTTTTCAAGTATATTAATGTCAAAATCTCATATGTCGAACACTCAGAAATTTAAGAAACCATGTGTTTACAGTTAGCAATCATTTGTTTGCGTAAAATATATCTTTAGCATATATTTATATACAATTTTCATAAAATATTTTCAAACATTTAAATTTAATGCTTTCGTACGAAAAAGAGTACTAAATTTGCCCAACATCCTTCTGTGCTTCCCTTTTCTCTCGCGCTTCGTAAGCTTCCACAGTATAACCCTGAGCTAAAGGACCGTCGAAGCGAATCGTCACTACCCTTCAGTACAGCTGGAGATAATCGCTATGTTTGGACCGCTACTGCACCGACTTCTAGGGTAGTAGCACCTTAATTAACCCGTGGTAGTGCGCAGGGTAGTGCAGAGTCGAACCAGTCGGAAGCGGAATTGCCAGTAACTAGTTTAGTAACTCCTGGTACTCCAGAGAGAGCCGATATGGATTTATTAATTAACACGGCAAGTAATCGATCGGTAGTCGACGAAGTTGACTTGGTAGCTACCGATTCATCAGTCCTGTACTGCAGGGTACGTATATCACCTTGGTGCCGAGCATTTCGCTGAGAATCAAATGCAAAACTACAGAAAAATTTAACAGCTGATAGCCTTTCTTTACATTTATTCAGAAGATTTATTGAAAATAAAAATTTCGTTTGATCATTTTTATTTTTTGTTCACAACAGCATCAGGGCGCTAAAAAATCAAATAGAATTCCAGCTCCGAAACTCTCCTGAACAAGCTTGCTGTATGAATACTGTGATGCCGTCTTCCATTTATTTGAGATTTTATGTGTATTTATCTTAGTCTCTTCGCCCGTCTGCTCGACTTGACAGACATCCTTGGATAAGAGGTGTGACTATTTACTAGGTAGCAAGGTATCATGAAAACCATTAGAACGAGAAGGCTGATGCACTAGCGAAAACAATATAATAAAATGTTAGACACAGTAATGAAGTTTAAGCCAAATCCCCTAACAGATTTGTGTGTGTGTGAATAGTGACAGTTTCTCCAATTATGATTAGTGGGGAGTAAAATGCGCATGTAGTATAGACACTGGGAAGGGTGCCCTTAACTTACCTTGGAAGATATAGTGGAGCAAGCGATCAACATATTATTACTTTATTCTCACACAACAATACATCATAACCCGAATAAAAACTATCTATGCCTCCACACGATCTTGACGAAACTAAAGACCGATTATAATCTTTGTGCGGAATCTAGGTCTAAGCCATCCTAACCTAACCTTAAGACTTTAATTCAAAAATGGAGCGTTAAAAATCGATTTTGTTTCGTGACGTTTATAAATTTAAGTCGACCGCTGTGGTGTAGTGGTAAGCAGTGCGCGATTTCACTCATCAGCACCTGGGTTCAAGCCCTGTCAAAGCAACATACCAAAAAATATAGAAAAAGTTTTTTTCTTAACAGCGGTTGTCCCTCGGCAGGCAATGGCACACCTCCGAATGTATTTCTGCCATGAAAAACAGCTTCTCATAAAATCGGCGTTCGGAATCGGCGTAAAACTGTACGTCCCTCCGCTTTGTGTAACAACATCAAGGCGCACGCCACAAATCGGAGGAGAGGCTCGGCCAAACACTAACATATGTGTAAGCGCCAATCTATTATTATATTAATATTAAAAATTTCCACTTCTAATTTCTGCTTACATTTAAATCTAATGGTAACAGATTCTAGAAGAAAAATGTGTGACGATTCCATTAGATTTGGAAATTATTTTATATTAGGAAATTATTTTGGAAATCCCTTCCACATTTCTCCAAATAAGTAATGCGAGTATTTTAGTTAAATTTTAAATTAAGGTAATTTATGGCAACTCTGTTAACACAAGTTTAGAGTTACATTGCAAATAGATACAATTGAAAAAATATTATAAAATAAGTAAAAATACATTAAAATTACTTTACAAAGATCAATTACTGGCCTGACAACGCCAACGCCGCTACTACTCCAGCCCATCGATCGAACTCTCACACTCTGCCCCCGCTACTCAACCCAAATGCGCCGCATGTGTGTAATGCAGATTGGGCAGTGCATTATGTGTGCTCAGGTGTTGGTGTTGTAAATGGTACTGGCCCAAAGAGAACGGATGTGATGAGCTTGCATGTGGCTGATATGCGCCGTAGCTGTGATGGCGTCGTGGCACTTTGTGCACAATGGTCTTCACGATGGGTACCTGCACAGGATAGGGATAGTAGACGGGTTTCGCCACCTGTTTCTCCACCATATAGGGTACGCTACGCTCCACCACGAACGGCACGGGTCGCTCCACGGGAAAGGGTTTCACCTTCTCTATCGGTATGCGCACCTCCTGCACTTTCGGCACGACAACATTCCTTGCAACGGGCACACGAATGGCGTAGGGTCGCGGAATGGTTGTCACAACGGGTTGTGGTATACGGATGGGTACGCTCTGGTTGTAGGGCACATGTATGCGCTCATAGTCGGTGACAGCAGCAATATGCTTGGTCACCTCAACGTGACGTGCGAGTGGTATGCCAGCAAGCGCGGCAGAGCTGGCGGGCGTATGACGTACGGTGGTTGTGATGGGTGGCAGCGTGTAGTGCTGGTGGTGGTATGGCGCTGCCGGTTGATGGTGTGACACTGACACGAAATCCTGGTCGAGGTGGTTGCCACGGCGGTTGGTGACGTCGCTGTCGCTGCCGCTATTCCTGTCGCTTACACTGTCGTCGATATTGTTATGCGTGTCATCAATTTCGTTTACGCTGTCATCGAGCGTGAGCCGTGACACATGCGCTGGCTGTGAATGGCCGTGTGCGTGTGCGTGTGCGTGTGTCAGTGCATAGTGCAAATGCGATGGTGCGCTCGTGCTGTCGGCAACTTTTTCGCTGATGCTTCTTTTGTCGCTGCCTGAACGGCTTCGAATGCTGTCAATATTTAAATTGCCACTGTTGTTGCTGCTGCTGATGTCACTGTCAACGTGCGAATTCTCCGTTGTTGGCGACAAGCTGAGCCGCGCCATATTGCCCATAATGCGCAGCGCCGGCAGCGATGCGGCGACACGCCTTTGATGCTGTAGCTGTTGTTGCTGGCGACGGCGCGCGGATAGCGGCACTTTGTGATTTGAACGCGTTGCTTTTGCTGGCACTTTGACTGGGCGCTGTTCTGGATGCGGCAAGTGCTGATGCAGGGAAAAATGCATAAGCTCGGGAAATTTGCGCAGCTGAGGCGATAATTGTAGTTGCTGTTGTTGTTGGTGTTGGTGTTCCATGCGATGTTGTTGTAGTGGTTGCTGCTCTTGTTGCAGTTGCGATTGTTTTGCGTAGTAAAGCAATTTTTGCTTGTCATTTGCATAATTTTCGATATTCGCGCCTTTATTAAATTGTCGCAGCACAGCGTTTTTGTCCACATCGCTGTTGTCGAACGAACCCAATGACCCTAACTGTGGCTGCTCGCGCCCCTCTTCATCCGCCGTATGCTGCACTGCTACTTGCTGCTCTTGCTGTCCACCATCCTGCGGCTGCTCTTGATTATGGTAATTGGAAAATTGTTCAATCTGGTAAGTGGGCATAAAATAATTTTCATAGGCCGGTAAACGATTCTCGAAATATGCACTTGCGCCTCCTTGATTGCTACTGTCAGCACCAGCTGTCGTTTCATGACGCCCCTCGCCGGTGCCCGCGCTGGCCGCTAAGGCGCGTTGCATATGTTCGGCGTATTCGTTCATGTCATACTTGTACATTTCATATGCATCAGCTGTGTGCAAACCCGATCCGCTGCTACCGGTAACTGCAGCTTGACCAAAGCCATAACTGTCGCCATTTTTCCTACTCTCGTAATTATCCTCATTGATTTCATAATCAATTTTTCCGGCAGACCCTGCATATGCGTAGTCATTGCTCGCGGCGTCTGGGCCACGCTCCGCCTTGACCATTTCCCCGCCGCCTACGCTCGCTGGAAAGTCAAAGCCTACAGACATACTCGTAGCATAATGTTGACCTGCAGCTGTCATTGTTGTTGGCACAAATCCAGCTGCTGTCATTACCGCCGCCCCATCTGTGGCGATTGCCGCTTGTTCGCTTCCAGCAGCCGGCATGCGCCATTGTGCCATTTGATCGCGCGTAATTACTGTCCTTGCGCCAATTTTGTCACTACCCGCATCAGTATTTTCGAAATAATTTCGGTATAGCGGTGCCACAGCCACATCTGCCGCGTCTACATCTCGTGTTGTGGTCGTCAACGGCGCGGATGGCGCTTGATAATACCGCGGTAATTGTTGTGAGTAATCTTTTGCGGTTGCCGCCGCTGGCAATGCGGCTGCGGTCATGGCTGCTGTCACTGCAGCCGCTGCTGCCTCAGCCGCCGTCGCATCCTCGTAATTTCTATTACTGCGGTAAGTAGTGCTGGTGGTTGCTGTAGCGGCGGTAATTGCCGCCACATTGCGCATTAGTAGCGGCAATATAGTACAAACGCCGATTAGCAGCGAGCGATTGTCGCTGCCTAAATTACGAATATTACCCATTTTATTTGGGAAGAATTTTGCTTGAATTGCCGGTATTTTCCACTTGATGTTTGAATATCCTTGCGGCTCCACGGCACATATGTATGACGCGTTGGCGCGATGAGTGCTTGTGCGTGGTTTGAAGTCCTGAATATTTAGCGCCTTGCCGACAGCAATTTAATAGTTGTGTTGTGTGCAGATTTTACATCGAATGTGGCAATGCGTACCTGCAACAGCAACTTTTATATGCATTTCCAAACTAAGTAGTGGCATTGGCGCCTATGAAGTTGGGTATAGATTTTCATAAACATATGTACGCAAATACTTATTTTCCAATACACAGGTGTACATACTTACGTACTAACTTGGCTTATGTTCCTTCACTTTACTTTCTACGTTTTGCATACCTACTTACGTATTTGCCTGTTTGTAATGTAAAATGTATAAATGTATATGTAATTTAATATCGTTTGAAGAGATCCAGATGACCGCTGCAAGTTCATTGTACACTTTTTTATATGTTTTATGTCTCCTTTTTTCTGTTGTTTTTTTTTATTTTTTTCCGAGAAACAAATGCAAGTATGTAGTTGCATAATTTTTATATCTACTGTCGGACGCGCATTTTCTTTGGTGGAAATAGTTTGCATGCAAATTCACCGAAGTCAATTTTCTATATGATGTAATTTAGATAAGATTAGGTTAGTTTGGCTGATCCGTAAGACTGGCAGTCAGTAATACCTGGCAAGTGGAGGCAGAAGCTTAAACCGTGGTATTAATACACTTTGTTCTGCAAGTTTGTTCATCAAAAATAACAAAGAAGAGTCAAAATAGCTACGACGCTACCTACCATTCACTTGAAAAAATCTACCAAATCTGGAAAATATCTATCAATAACCTTTTTAATTACTTTAATAAAAAGCATAGATTTGTTTTATCTTTTTTTAAGTAGTTCATGTAAAATTTAAATTTTGTATTAAGGAACTATCTGTTTAACTAACGCTGAGGTATTTGAGATCATATTAATGGCATCTTCGCGGCAAACTTCTATCAAAAGCGAAAATGATGAAACTAAAGGCGACTGCGATTCTTTGTCATATAAAAAAACTGCAACTGAAGTTACAATAGACAAATACAGTGACTCAAAAAATCGTTTTATATTGGTTTTTAATATTCAAAATGTTTTTCAAGTAAATTTTTATTCTTTATTTTGTTTTATAAGAATTTAAGCAAACCCAAAAACATCAAGAGTTCAAGCTATATACAACATTTAAAAAAAAAATTAACAAATTCTTACATACATTTCGAACTGCTTACTCTGAAGTTTAGAACGTTTTGGGTACACAATTTTATAGCCCGTTGAATTGAATTTTGTTTGCAACCGGTTTTTTGTTGTTTTTTTATTTTTTTTCATGTAAAGAATCATTTAAAATATTTAAGCAATCAAAGCTCCCCAGGATTTCATTTAACATTTAATAAGAGTCCATTAGGGTTTGTTTAATCTCGTTGATTTATCGCCAGTGAAAAATCGTAACCGGTAAAAATTACCGGAGGTCCGTGCTCATGTAAGCATTTTTGTTAATTTATGATGTAATAAAACTGGGTAACAAAGTTTTTTTGTATCATTTTTTTTTATATTTTTTTTTATGATATGCAAATCAACTGTGGAAGTTATCGTGGACCTTCTGAAAGAATTGAAGTTAGAGAGGATTTGCCAGGAGTGTCAGATTGATTTTTTCAATTCTTTGGCGCCTGCAGGTTTTTCCGTAAATGTTTATGTTTCAATTATAGCGCAATATTTTGCATCTGTAATTATTGTATTTTAAGTTTTCTTAAAAGAAATAAATTGTATTTTGTTTTGAAATCTCATTTATAATCGTTTTTCTACAAGATTCCAAAAAAAAAAATACTAAAAAATATCATTTATTATATTCTTCTCATAAAAGTGGTATTTCTTTATTAAAATAAATAATTTGACTACTTTCAAAAACATACCATAATGGAAAAAACTTACCTTTTTATCGACCCACAATTTTTTTACTGATTTTGGTACTAATTTACCAACGTAGCAACCCTGGCCGGGACCAATAAAGCCGGACACCCTATCCCTGAAATTTATAATATAAAGAGAAACTGTTTTAAGAATGCAAAAAGCTTTTTCAAGAAAAAAATGTAAATGTTCTCTCCATCTACATTCTACACAATGACATCCTAAATGATTCAATGGACTTTTACATATATATTATTTGTTTTAGAAGTTAAACTTTTTTGCTTAAGATTGCGCTGGCCCAAAAAATCCTTTGCCAAACCAAAAATAAATCTACCAAACCACTAGAATTAAAATCTAGAAAAATAGTAAACCAAATTGGTTAAAATCATACCAAAGTAAATGTAAGAGCGGCTGCCCACTCAACTTGTTCATAGAACGTTTTCAGAAAAATGTTGCAGTAGAACGAGAGTTTGTAGGGCAGGGCAATCCCATGTTTCACACGAAATGAGCAGCTCTCCTTCTTTCACTCATTTTAGATTTGTCCGTAAAAAATAATAAATTTTGGTGATTTGATCGTAGTTCCTTATTCCATCTGTCATGCTGATTTAGGATTTGATTTAGATTTTTCCGGTTTTTACGTAATTAAATATATTTCAAATTCTCTAATTATTCTTCATAAAAACTTGCATAACATAAATCCACAGATCTGCCGTGGAATATTGTACAAGACTTTACGATTTCCATTGAAATAGAAAAGGAAATTTCAAATGATACTTGAAAAAAAAACAAGAACAACAAAACCCACTGAACAAAAGTTACAACACCAACCAAAGAGTCACCGAAGCGTGGCAACTACAAGCTGCGCACACAAAACATTGACACTGACATTCTTTCATACCGCCAAGCAATCAGTGATTCATCTCAGCGACCGCATTTGCTTTCCCGCAAGCCCTTTGTTTTGGCATTGCTAGCAGTGCAGCGAACAAAGCATGGCACCAGCAATAAGCGTCAACTACTGATTATGTTGCATGGAAAGTGAATGTGGAACTGTGTACAAAAACACATTCACCTGATAATGTACTCCATACATACATACATACATACATGCATTTGTACTTGCAACATACGTGTGCAATACGCTGCCATTCAGAGCTAGCGCGCGCATCGCTGGCGGATACAATTTCACTTAGTGTGGTGTTGTGCCCTTTGTGTCACACATTTTGTATGTTTGTATATTTGTATTTGTTTGCGCGTAAATGCGTTTTGTGGCGGCAACCTTGCCACTGAATTGCAGCAGCAAAGTGGTGTACTTGTGCTTTAGTGGAGACGAATTTCTAATACCCAATACGTTGCTGTCAAGCTCTGTGGCACCAATTCAAATGTGCCATTATGTATGGCAAATGAAAGTGAGTAGTTTTGCTTTTGTTGGAAATGTGAAACCAATTTCCGCCTTTGTTTCGATTTGGGAGTGCAAATTGTTTTGGATAACTTTAAAGTGATACATTTGTTCCTGGATATACATATATAAGTCTACATAAGTATGGAGTACTCGTGTTGTGTTTAAAGTGTGGTTACTCATTTTGCATGTAAGATCTTGTGTTTTAATTCGAAGGTAGGTAAACAACTTAAATATTATCTTAATCAACTAAGTAATTTTTAACATAGTTGTCCCTTTTGGTGCGTTATTTGCAAATAAGATTATTTTGGAGAGGATACCTCGCTACACACAGGACTTAAGAAGCCACTAGCGACATTTTATAAAATTGACAGAGCCACTACTTTATCTCCATCTTTAACATCTCTTGAAGATCTTTAAAGAATACTAATCTTATTTTACTCAAAGCCGGGCAGTAGCGAAAAAAATTTGTAGATTTTCTTCTTTTATTTGTCTATAATAACCACCTATCTCGACTTTGCCCTTGCAACTGCGACCATAGTGCGCTGTGTCCACCCCTAGTCTCATGGCGTGTAACCAATTAGCAATTGGCCCATAAAAGTCGCGAATGATATTAAATAAGTCACCCAACTATTAGAGATGCCGTCATTAAATCGAAGATCGATTAATCGAGACCTTCCGATTAGATTTTTTATCGATTTTTCTGTTCCGATTCGATCCGTGAAGTGCTCAGTAGTTTTTTATAATCTGAATTTCACACTATAAACCATTAAAAAAAAGAAAAATCAGCAAAGGATGCAACTATACAAATAACCGGCAGTGTATAGTTAAATAATAATTTCTAGAATATTGTCGGGTATTCTGTTTTGTATCCAAGTATAAAGTTTCATTTTCGCCAATTTTAAAGTAGCCTTCGAATCGCTTAGGCAGTACTACATATCTCAATGTTCGTTTTTGAAATAATGCTGTATTTACAGCACCTTCTGAACCACAATCAGGGCTAATCTATTTGAAGGAAATATACAAACAGCAAAATTTAGAACGGAGAATAATAAAGGAACAAACACCGGATCCGACGTATATAATACATATTCGAACCAGTGCGCTGGGGCTACTCTTTGGAAAACAATTAATGAAGAAGATTAACGGTAATAACGGATTTATATCTGCCTGCAAATACAAGTTCAAAAAACCAGCTACCAGCTAGATATGGTAGTTACAAATGAAGAGAAACACGACTATATCGAAATTTTGTTTAGGTTCTACTATTTATTTACAAAGCAATTCTAACCAATTTAAAAGAAAGCTGGAGAATCAAGTAGGAAACTAACGAATTTGGTATGTAATAAATTATTCAAAATCTATTTAGCAGCAGCTCAGATGCCTAAAGCAACCACAAACTCAACCGTGACTCCAGCCTTAGCAACAATGAGCAATCCTAACATAATTTTTTAATAATATTCAGCAAATTTTTAACAATCTAAATATATTAAGTTTAAAAATAACGTTGAATTACAAAAAAAAATTTTAGAAATTTATTTATTAAATATTTATTATGTGCTTCATAATCTAAAGAAAAAAATAAATCAATTGTTAAGAAAAAAAAAATTTTATTTGTTGCTTCGAATTAATTAATAC